TCTATCAAACTGTTCAACATTTCTTGATAGATACGAAGATAATATAGATAATATTCTTAGGTATATTTATCGAACTGTGAAAGAGTCTCTCCCTCACGAACAAGTTTATGCCGATATTCAGGGTTTCACCGTTGCGGGCGGAACCATCCCATCCCATATTTATGTAACTTCTCAACGCCCAGATCTCGTCGTTATTTGGGAATCAATGAAACAAAAGCTAATGATCGAACTAACAGTGCCCTTTGAGACAAACACCAATGCTGTTCACACGAGAAAGCTCGACCGGTACAAAGAACTTGTGGCCGAAGTAAGAAACAAAGGTTACAGTGTGACATACCATGCTATTGAGATAGGAGCAAGGGGGCAAATAAATAGGGACAACACAAATCGGCTAAAGTGGGTACTCAGGTAATGTTCAGTCCCTCTTCGCCCGAATAGTTTCTTTCAGAACATAAGTAGGTACGCAGTTGTGTCATCTTTTGTCATATTCAATGCAAGAAAAGAATCACAGTGGAAGGATGTGAATACCTTGACCTCTAATTAACACTCCATTCTCTTCAACGCTTCTTCTCTCTCTTCTTCGTCTTCTTCTTTGCCTTATTTCGTCTTCTTCTTCTTTTTCTTCTTCTTCGTCTTCTTCTTCTTCCTCTCTCTCTCATTCTTCCTAAAGTTCTCTCTTTACCCCCTACTTTCTCTAGCTTTTCTTCCACTCCGTCCACTCCAAGTGGAATTACTTGTTTTCACTCGTTTACACTTTATCTCCAACCTATAATGTACCCTCTACTTTCCCATCTCTTTCACATTTTCTTACATCGTTTCCTACTCCGAGCCTTTACCCACATGCTCAGAAAATCATAATACCCTTAATTTTTGTTATTAAAATTATTTAATTTTTGTTGCCCACCTAAGCATTTTTGATGCAGGCACGATTAACGATTGTTACTATACATGGTTGATATATGAATGTAATGTATATTGATCAATGATTAATGTATAAAACTGTAACTATACATGATTAATATATAATTATTATTATTCATGATCGATATAACTGTAATGCATTATTGTTTGTATATGTTTTATATGTAGTGCGACCTGCCATGGTTTCGGAAAGGGAACATGGACCTAGTATTGAATGTAAACATGTATTCCTTTTATATGAAATAAAGGCATGATTTAACAACAATGAAATGAAATTTAAAAAAAAATGAAAACAAAGATGTTTTATTCAATTACGTCTGGGGTCCTATCATTATTTTACTCAAATATATTTCTTACCTACAGCCTTCAGTATGATTAACAAATTTGATTAAGAAACGGGTTTGTTGTTGATGGCTTTATTTCGCACAATTAATGTACATACCTAGATATTGACTGCATTTTACCATGCAAACTGTAGCCTTCTTCGCATATTGGCGCCTCTTGCCTGAATAGAATTATGGTGTCAGAAGTGAAAGTGGCTGTTGATGGAATACCTGTGCTATCAAGTATGATCTATTAGCGAATTTCAGCAAGGGAACAGCTCCACAATTTTGGCGTGACCGGATATAACATCCATGAAATGCTTCATTGACTAATGAACAGCTAGTGACCGGATACTACAGTGAACTTTGATTCGTCAAGAGGTTTGAATAACCAGTGGCATGGAGCATTTGAAGCTAGCCTCCATCACCCTTAGATTTGGAAGCTAGGAATCTTCCTCACGTATGGAAGTTATGGAGGGAAGAATTTGAGCTTATGCACTTACTTGACTGTCACAGCAGATGAAAAGAAAAAGGTGAAACTTTTTCAATACCTGGTGGGAGCAAAGGGTAGATAGATGTTCAAGACACTTAACATAGAGTCGACCTCTAGTACTGAAGAGTCTGCTTTATGAAACGGGCCCACATGAAGTTACTTGGAAGGCGATACTAGATGCCTTTGAGAAAAACTGCAATCCGCAGAAGAATGAAACTGTTGATCGATACAAATTTTGTCATGCGCCAGCAAGTTGGTGGTGAAACACTGGAAATCAACAAGCCGAAAAGTACAAGTACAGCCGTGATAGCAGTATTCCAGCAGCAGTTTGCACGACATGGCATACCTGAAGAGATAATAACGATATGAGACCACAATATGCAAGTGCAGAATTCCAGCAGTTTTGTGTCGAGTATGGATTGAGACACACAACATCTTCTTCAAGATACCCACAGTCAATGGGAAAGCTGAAAAAGCTGTGCAAATAGCTAAAAGTCTCTTGAAGAAGTCGGCAGAAGAAAGTGAGGACGATCCTTTAGCTCTTCTGGCCTATATTAACACGCGAGGAGACGGGCTGTCATCGCCTTTATATGCTAATGCATGGGCAAAAGAACCAACACCATGCTATCCACTTTGAGCAGACTACTTGGACCACAACCTGTGCATCAAGAGCTCCCGCTGGAAAGGAAGAAGGAACTGCAAGAACGTCAAATGCAGTTCTATGACAGGGGATCCAAAGATCTGACATCTTTACAACCTGGTGAGCGAGTCTTCTACCAAAATGGTAAGGTGTGGGAACCAGCGGTCGTCATCAAGAAAGACAAATCACCTCGTTCATACATCATCGAAAGTGAAGGAGGCCGGGAGTCGCTATCGTCCAAATAGACGTCATCTTCAGAAGCGCGACCACGACGTGAACAAAGCGTATGTGCCAATGACTACGAAGACAGCGAGATCGCAGCAGAAGCTACAACCAACTCGCGAGACATGACGTCGCCAAAAAGCCCCAGTGAGAATAAACCATCTCATGAGCGTGAACGTCGTTATCCTTTGAGAGTACGAAGACGCCCTGTTATGTTAGATTTGTAAATACATGTAGTAAACTGTACAAGTTAAAAGGGGCAGAATAATGTCCTTTTGTATAGAGTTGGAGTGTTGGGTAGTCAACCCCTTGGCCCTTCACTCATTTTAGTTTCATAGTTATATATGCATGTATCTAGTGTATTCAACTATTATTTAGTGTTGAAGTAGGAAAACTGTACTATCCAAGAGGCAGAACATTCCTCTGGTACATTTGGAGCAACAGACATTCTACCCTGTTACTTATACATTTTAAATGTTGTAGAAAAAGAAAAAAAAAATCATTACTTGTGAAGTTGTAATATTTGCCAGAGGATCGTGTTGAAAAGCGAACAAGCAAGTTCATGCAAAAGGAAGCAAATACTGGAAGAACTCCACTAGAACGAACACTCGAGTATAGAACTGGACTATATTGGAACTTTATTTCTGAGGTGAACCTCATTTAATCTCAAACCTGGCTGGATTTGAATAGTGGTTTCACATTGTATCGGATTTGATAGTTTCACAAAAAAAATATATGTATTCTTTGTATTTGATGAAAAGGGGATGTAATGATTATTTATATATCGCATTAGTCAAAAGTAAACAGCGCCACCTTGTGGTGATATGTCACATAGACAACAAGACGGACACAACGATGTATGGGTGCTACCGTGCGAGTCTCACGATCTGAAAAGTATGTATCAAGTAATAAAGTTACATTTGAGCTTAACTTGATCGTCATTTCGTCTTCAAACTAGAGATAAGATATAAGAAAGACATCTCGATGAATCAAGCTATTGCCAGTCAATCGGTCATTGATGCATTTGCCTTGGAAAAGCTGTCTTAAAGGTACTTAAAGGTAATGTCCCATTTGCAGACCAATAAAATAAAAAGTTTAAATTCCAATGGCATTTGAAAGATAATACTAATTTAGAACTTCCCTAAAACAAAGGGGGGGGGGGGGTTGAAAATGTCATTAAGTGGGAAAATAACGACTGTTAGTTGTCGAATCGACTTAAGAGTAAGTAATAGTCTGATTTTCAGACCATTGTACCGAATGGTCGTACGTGAAGAAAAAAAAAAGGTCAGTCAGTCAGTTACTCAATAGTGTCTGACAGTGAAGTGTATTTGAATATTAGGACACTGCTAACATTTAAATTTCACCGATAGGACAAACATGACATATTTATAATTACTGCAAAGTTCTACAGAATGTGATGTTGGCTGCAAAAGGGACATAGTATCTTTAAAGGACAAGTCCACTCCAAAAATAAATTACTTTCAATAGAAGCAGAAAATCAGACTAAAAATAGTTTGAGCAAAATCGGATAACTAATAAGAAACTTATGAATTATGGCATGAAAAACTTTTAAAATCACTAGACAAATTGGCAACTCACTCATTAGTCTGTGACGTCATGTCCTCACTATCCACTAATTATTTTCTTTATATTGATAATATAAATTTCCTATTTCCCCCTATGAATCTTATTTCTTCACACCAGCATCCAAGTTAGATTGATAGTAATATGTTTTTGTGTGGATGCACTATTATAGAGTAACCTTTTTTCAAGTTAAATCATGAAAAATGTGAATTTTGAAAACCTAAACTATTTATATAAAAGTCAATAATCATGAATATACGATATTCAGAAAATAGTATCCTTCAAAGTTCATAACGGATTTCATGAAATGCCATGCACGCAATAAGATACAAATCATATAACCTGGGCAAAGGCATGGGGAAATCAATTTTGGGAGGATAAAAAAGGGAAATTAATGAGATTAAACTAAATAAAGCGATTGAGAAATAGTGAGGACATGACGTCACAAAATGATAACCAAATAAGTAATTTGTGTAGAGATTTTCATTGTTCCATAGTTTTACACACTTTTTCAAATATTCATAACTTTCTTATTAGTTATCTGATTTTGCTCAAACTTTTTTGATTGGTTTGTCTGATTTTTCTGCTTCTATTGAAAGTAAGTTATTTTTGGAGTGGACTTGTACTTTAAGCGGCCTACGTGACCGAAGCCCTTTGTTGACTGGGCTTCATTTTTGTGCACATATTTTGATCTTTACCCGGGCTGTCTCCGTTTGCGACTTCAGACTTTTTTTTTATGATAAAAAACCAAAATATTTGTAAACAGTAAGAAAAAAGGTAAACAAAAAAAGAAAACAATGCAAATGAACAAACATCGTGACCCTCTATATGTGACCCTGAGAATAGAGCACGTTTTTATTTCGGAGCATATTTTACGTAACAGACGCATGTGTAGACTTGCGGCATCATACCTGATAATCAAAATTTCAATAGCATAAAATATTTCCTGTTATAAAAGTATACTGGTGAGAAATACATGTATTGTACGAAATAATAACATTGGAACAATAAAATGGTGAAGCAAATTGTAAATCAAAGAGAGATTTCCAAAAGGGCTGTTAAGACGTGAACAATATTCGGGCCTATACCGAACTATTAACAATTACTAGATTTAATCAAAGATAAGATTGAGCTCAAGGAAAGGTGTTAAAAATATTTTTTGACCTTTTTACTTCCATTCATGTTAGTGAAAGATGTTGTTGTTGTTGTTGTTGTTGCGATTAATGGCGTTTCCATCGTCATTCGATGATTTCCGCCAGGCAATGTGACAGGGCGTAGTTACTGGTCCTCTCTTAATACTTTTACTGTTGGATCGACGATGGCCTAGTGGCGTTGTGTTGTGCAATTAACAATGTCAGTAGATTGTTAGTTTCTGTATTGTTATTCGGCTTGTTATTTTAAAGAATTCATTAGAAAGGAAGGAAGTTTAAAACCTCTCTCCGTATAATGAAGCAATTATACAATTTATACAATGAAGCAATTTATACCGAGGATAGTACCACTGTCACTAATAGATAATATAGTTAATATAGCAAAACGTAACTAATACTCGATTAATACTTAATTAATACGTAATTAATGTTTGTTTATAGCTGAGCATCACAGTTCATTGTACCTTCCACTGCCTTTTAAAAAAGCTACCACCTTTCCTATAATTATATTCCTCATTTCCTAGTAAGTGACTTAAATTTGGATTTTGGGTTTTAAGTGCTCTATGCATTCTCCTTCGTTGTCTTTCATATTTTGGACATGATAATAAAAAGTTCAAAATGAATATCAAAGAATCATTTAAGAGAATGTGTTAAGTGCCGTACCATGCAGTTACTGGCGTAGACCTAGGCCTATACGTCAGACAAAATGACGCCCCAATGGGTCTTATTCATGTATAAATACTGGAAGCATGCGTGACCACACGTTTTCCAGACAACCCCTAAATGAAGATTTCTACTGAAGCCAAAATATATATATAAAAAAACACCCATTTAAACGCGTTTTCTTGGTCGCATGCTTACAGTATTTATATTTGACAAAGACCTTCGGGCTATACCCGTCTCTACGAACAATAATTATGAAAATTGCAAGATACTTGCATAGTGAGGTTAAATATGAATTCCTATGTAGGCCTACCACACATGAATGTTAATAACTGATTACTTAGGTTTTTAACATGTGAACCTCCTGGATGTACATTGTCCGCGATTAATTGCGCACTTGACATGCTCCAAGAGTCCATGAAAGCCAAGTTTTCGGCAATTTCTCTCCGTATAATGTATTCCATACGTCTCGCCAGCCAATCAGAGTTATACAGACGTTGGTTTGCGGTATTATGTTCGCGCGTGTTCGCACCCTTGAAGACCACAAGCGTGGACGGACTGCGCTCCCGAAGACGCGCAACGGCCGCCATAATTGTTCGCATTCGTTGCACGAAAAACCACTCCGGTTCGTGGGTGAAATGGGACCACAGTGAGATTACGACCACCGAATTTTCATCACCAACAATGCTGTCAACTTCGTTCGCTATGTAGTGGATGTCCTTCACTGTGGCCCATGAGTTCCTCCCTATTGGGTACGCATGGAAACGAAACATCATACTGATGTTGAAGACCTGGTCTAACGCACGCGTTGGACCTACGTGCCATCGTGGTTCTGGACCAGATTGCGTCTTCTTTAATCCTGGTCCAAGTCGCTCCAGATAGAACTCGAAGAGCTGGCGGATTGTCGAATCTCCCAAGAAATACAGCTTCTTCCCTGAGACACAATTTCGCATTTCGTCGAGCGGGAAATTGAGAATTCTGCAGGATGGATTGTACCAAATGTCGCGGAAATAGTAGCCAGAGGTGAGGAGGTTTCCAATATTGCATCCATTTGTACAAATGGGAAGATTTATAACTTCTGTGGTCGCATTATCTGATGCCGATTTTGGTTCAGATGAATCTGGATATGTGAACAAATTGAAAGAAACTTTTTTTTTAAATTTAGATTTCAACAAGTAGACCTAGGTTGATATCGATACAGAGGGCGTTTGGCCAACTTGGTTTCAGTTGGTCATAAAGCAGGGTGTGAATTCTTTTGTTTTTGTGCTTGTTTTGCCCAACTCAAGCGGGGTTGGCTGAACTCTCCTAATAAATGACCGTGTCAAATGAATCTGAGCAACAAAGCAAGTTAATTTACCCTAACTCGATGAGCAAGAACCTCCCAGAGCCTGCTCAGACCAGATCTAAAGATGTGCAATTTTTTTTATCTGAACCGATAGCAATCAATATCAGGATTATAGGAAGTATCTATTCTAAATCAAATCTGTACTTACTTCTGATCGTTCCTCGGACTTCGACTTGAATTCTCGTCGGAAGATCACTTTTTGGACTGTTGATAGAAGGAAAAAGACAGTCCTTAGACTTAAACTGGTGTAGAATTGAAGTTGGTCACGTAATTCGTATATCTGTCAGCTTCTTTTCTCGTCATTTCCCCTCCCAAGTTTATGTTCTCCATCTTCCTCTTTGCTCTCTTCTCTTTTTCTTAAATTGATAGGAGGGGCATGCGTCCCAGGCACATAGAACAGCCCTGGTCACCATCAGGAGAGGCGATTTCTTTTCATGACCGGGGGGGGGGGGGGGCGGCCATGAGAGGGACGAGGGAGCACAGTGAACGAGAGGGGCGAAGGAGACGGAAGTGACTACCCCCTCACAGGTGATACCAACAGAAGGATATTATGCGAGGGAGCGTAGCGACCGATCCAGAAGATATTTTCATTTTTAGTCTAAACGCTGCACCCTTGGGCACTTCAGACCCTGAAAGTGTGATGCAGTCTTTAGTCAGTATTTGCTATAAAATTACAATTTTGTTGTTGCACTTTTCAAATTTACCCGGAATGGGGGGGGGGGAGGATGATCCCCCCCCCCCCCAAACAAATTGAGATGGGGCGTGTCCCCGGACCGCTTGGGATCGCCGCCACTGGTCATCATTACATTTTTGGAACAGTAGCATTAATCACGGTAAGTTCAATATGCCTTATAATATGTCAGTGGCGGATTCCGGAAAATGCTGATGATCGACCCTTTGTAGTGTTTTGTTTTTTCTACCCGTCACAGAATGTTTGAACATGTGACCCCCTCTCTGTCCGCCCCCACCTCATGTCAGAGAATCCTTCATCCACCGATGCATACATACTGAATAATCAATAAATTCACATCTTCATACCTGCTCGCTCACTTATTTATCAACTAGGCCTTTTCTATCCTTGCTTTTAGCTAGTTTTACTCTTGTTGGGAGGGGGGGGGGGTAGTCGTAATCAGCAGAGTTTATTGTTTATTGTTAAGGGAGAGAAGGACAGAAAGAAGTGGAGGGAAATACTTGCTGGAGAGAATGAGCGAAAGAGAGGGGTAGGAGTGAGTTGGAGAATGTAAGTGAGTGGGAGAGAGAGATGGGGGCAGAAAAGAGAGAGGAAGGGACAGAGATAATATCTCTTATACTCTTATAGATAGCAAAATGGAAGCAAATTGATTTTATTGCTGTAGGCCTACTTACATCAAGGTTAACTTGTCATGTGATGATAAAAGCGATGCATCAGACCGGTTAGCGGCGCCGGAGTCACATCGATGTTCCCGCCAGTCGCTGCACTTCAGTTTCGGTGATTTGGGCTTGTAGCAAAACCAGGGAGATCCCGTAGCGTTATCGGTAAAGTTGCATAGGTCAGGCTGTAAAATATCAGTCAAATGTATGTTTGATTTGGTTTATACTTGATTGTTCTCTTTCATCATTTTCGTTTGTTCTATCTTCCTTTATTGCAGGAGCATTTGATTTATAGCCTCATGTTATAGTTTTGTATAATTATTATTATTATTATTATATTATTATTATTACTATTATTATTATGATTATTATTATTATTATCATTATCATCAATCATTATTATTACTTGGCACTTCCACCTATAATGACGGAGTCTGAACGATTTACACATTGTGTACAATTGTGAGAAATTGCTTTATTTCAAAAGTACAATTTCAGAGCCTGAGATTAGCGTTTTTTTTTACATGTACATGGAAATAGAGAGGAAGAGTTGCCGAGTTATACATGTCCCGAACCAATTGAAACTTTCTGTAGATCATGGGGGAGAGGGGCGGAAGTGTAACTATGGTGACGAAAATTCGTCAGTGCCAGGATACTACCTATTCTAAATTTTAATCTTTACATTCCTGGCATCCACTCATATTTTGTTTAAAGGTTCAATCCAGTCTGAACCATTATGCAAATTGTTAAATGCATTTACAATTATAATTGTCGTTAGAAATAAGGAAATTAGAAAGGCCTCTTACCGGATTACCAGAAAGTACAATGTTGCAGAAAGTCTCTTCTTTGTGCGTACCGTCTGCGGACACAAACTTGCCGCGGTAAACGAACCGCGCTGGAGCTGCGTCGCGGAAACGTCGAATCACATCGACCGCTTCACTGGGATGAACCAAGGTCACCTTGACGTTGACCTTCCCGGGCCATTTCAGAGTGAAGAGAGCCCTGTAGGTCCCATCTCCTAGATCGATCACTTCTCCATCCGTTGCAGAACTCGCAGAGAACGTTGAATTCTTAGTGAATATCTTAGCCCGGAAGTAATCACCACCATATTGTTTCAGCCGTCTCCGTCCATCGCGGGCCTGGATTAGCAACTCGAGCTGATCATGTAGGAAGTATACCTTTTTTGCATTACAGATTTTATTGTCGCTGTACTTGGCACTTGTCAGATTCTCCACCGTTGTCCATCGTACGTTGGAGGGCGGGCTTGGTTGTATCGCATCTGTGAGATGACTCACTGGGCCAGTACCTTTCCCCACGGGGCAGACAAGTCCTGTATCACCAACCGATGGATCGTAGAGTACTGGTTTTACGCGCGGTCTAAATACATCGTTGTGTGCGATTCCAATAGCCTGAAACAAATCGTAATATTAAAAGTTCAATCATTATAAATCTGTACACGAACACTCACATTGGCCCCTATTCACTTTAGAAAATGGTAGGCCTTATTGTTATCAACTACAAACCTGTTTCCATTTAATTGGTTCTTTAATCCCTATGAAATCATCCAAGGTCAACTAGCGCAAAAAAAAAAAAAAAAATGCATTTAGTTTGTTTATGAATTATAATTGAAGAAGAACAACAACAAAAAATCCGAATATTTTACTTTTCCCTCAAGAAAATCTGCAATCATACAGGCACCTCAAATGAAATTATTGCAAATAAAAAAAAATTATGTTTCTATTCAACAGAAATATTCTGTCATCAATAACGAAGAAAATGCAAGTTCATGAAATTTCTGTACAGAATAAATTGGACGGAAGCTCGCAAGGTACGTCACAGTGTTGCCAATTTGTTTGGTAATAGACACAATCGAAATGACGTTTCGTGTGAAACAAGAATTAGAAATATGAACTGGAAAGAATGAACTTGCCTGTGTGAAAGAGTGCACGGAATTACAAGATCCCAGTCCACAATCAAGCCACAATCCGCATGTAATTAAACAAACGATAAAAACATTGATCAGCAGAAACGTCTTTTGGGGAGACATCGCACCTAAAAAACGAAAAAATCACTATAATTTGAGTTCTCGGATATCACTGGATTTCAATTTCTTTCTTATAAACATGAGCACACTGTATGTCGAGAAATCTTCTCGCCTGTCAGTTGAGAACCCGGCCCCCCACTCCGAGAACGGACGGACCCCATGCGTGTTACCAAAATGTCCGGTAAAGGGGTACTTTTCGTGCGACAAAGTCCGGCCCGAGAATTGTAAAAAAAAGGGGGTGTATTAACTTTTCACCCGAAAATTTCTTTAAAAAGGGGGTGTTTTTTTTCTTCCTCTCATCTCTTTGGACTCCTGAGAAATTATTCCGAATTTAGGGGGGTACATTGAGCATTTTTCATGATTTAGGGGGGTCTTTAAGGCAGGAAAATCCCGCGAAAAGCCCGCGAAAGGGGGGTTCGGCAGTCCTCAGATAGGGGGTGCTTTCAAAAAGAGGGAACAAGCATATGCGTACCTTAAATAACACTGAGTGTGTGTGTGTGTGGGGAGGGGGGGTTGATAAGGGCCTCTAGCTGGTTTGTGTACACTGATAGAAGAATTGTTGATTTAAAAAACGTTCAACCATGGTCATAATGATAGTGTTGATTAAAACATACTTTAATCTTGCGTTGGTTAAGAACAGTGTTGATCAAAACTATTCCTTTTAAACTATGTTGGTTATGTCCAAGTCGTTGGCAAACATTGTAACCCAGCATGGATTAAAAACAAAATTCCCACAGTAATGATACCCCCCCCCCCCCTCCCCTCTCGGCTGCGTCTTTTTTTTTAAAACCTAACCTAGCCATCCTAGCGCTACATTGGCTCAATAGGAACCAATACGTCGTGCGCTAGTCATAAATATTCATGATACGCACGACCACAGAATCTGATGCGATAATTTATCAAATAATGAGATTTGATACATATATCACAAGTACAAAGCTATGTGTTACTTTAAATAAATGACAATTAATGCGAGAAGAACGGGAGGCTTACCGTAATTATGACTACCCTGGTCGTAATCTGCCCATAATCATTGCGGCATACTGAGGGGGGGGGGGGGGGGGGGGGGTTAGTCCAGAATCTGGCCGATTTAATTGTAATATGCAGCGCTAGGATGGCTAGGTTAGGTTTTAAAATGTCTCCTCCCGGTTAACTATTAATAAAAGTTGATTAAAGTGTAATACATGTACCAGGTTCGTATTTAAATTAATGTTACATATAGTGATATACAAGACACAGACAGGTTATTCTACATTTAAAGCACTTGTTTTAATTAACCCTATACTAGGGTATGTGTATAATCTGTGCTGTAATTATAAGTATGGTTCACACAATAATATAAATTAATTAATGATTTACAAGTTCTATAAACATAAGGGCCAACTACGATTTATGTTATTATTGACAAATTAAGACCGGTCGTTTATACAACAAAAAAGAAGATTGTCCGCTCATCAACGAATATGGAATGTTGCAATCAAAACGCGTATTGTTTGAGAACAATTATTTATTCCGAAAAGCTTTCCCTAGACCATTGCGGCATAGCATTCATTTAAGTAAATTAAAATAATATGGAGGCTTCTATCCAATGAACAGGGTTGATGGAATAGAGCTGCGTGATCTCCTCAAGAAAGCAGAGGGTCGACCGTTTGAAACATAGATTTTTCGCAGTGAAGGGCTATAAAAAAGGAGGTTAACAAAACAAAGCATGTATACTGGGCATATACATTTAACATAGACAAATATATAACAAACCGCATAACAACTGATCTGGACAGAGAAAGCCTTTAATGCAAAAAAGGTAGCGGGCGGGGACGCTAAACATGTATATGTTTTTTTTACTTGGCCCTAGTCCCATTTGCAGGCCCCAAAATGAAAAGGTTAAATTCCAACGGCATTTGAAAGATAATGTTAATTTAGAACTTCCCTCAAAAAATGGGGGGGGGGGGGGGGGGGGGGGGGGGGCTTGACGAATCGACATCAGTAGTAGCCTGATTTTCAGACCATTGTACCGAATGGTCGTACGTTTTGTGCTGCGCAAAGATTCAATCAGTTTAATTTGGGCCATTACAAGAAGTGGGTTATGGATGAAAACAAATGCTCAGGTACAAAATGAACCCTTTACAGATCATTTTATGTATGTTATTACCAAAGAAGAAGAAAAAGCCAGCCAGTCACTCAATAGTGTCTGACAGTGATGTTTAGTAAGTAAACGGGTTTCCTTCCATAATTTGAATATTAGGACACTGCTAACGTTTAAATTTCACAGATAGGACATAGATAGGACATACATGACATATTCATAATTACTGCAAAGTTCTACAGAATTTGATGTTGGTTGCAAAAGGGACCTCCTGTGTCCTCCGACTGACCAACAAGCATCTAGTCTAAGTCATTCAGACCCTACATATGCATAGCTTCTCCAAATCAGGATTATTATAGGCCTACCTAGTATGCCTACTGCATTTACAAGGGATGCTCTGAAACAAACAGTTATTTACGTATAATATATACAACTATAATCCACAGGAGATGTATGCATGTGAATTAACCGACACTACTCTCACTCAGACAAGGTATTGAACAAGTCTTCAGAGAATGTAGACCTACTAAGACTATGTAGCAAATCACAAGTTGCCTACAATGAACGATTATCTGATTAGCACGATAAGTTAAATGTTATTCATCTCGTGAACAAAGAGAAATACATTTACCAAGCAAATTTGTTTTCATGTTGTTGAAAAATCATAATATTCCCTAAAATTCCATATATTCTTGATTCGTGTTCATTATAACGGCCCAGCGCTCCTCATGGCACACACACTGTAAAAAAAATAATAGTCGAAATAACTCAATAAAATTGAGGAAAAGAATTGCCTTATTTTTATTAAGTAAATATTACCTACGGCATCTTAAGTAGAATTTACTTATTTTGCTGAATAAATTTTTACTCAGTTAAATCGAGTTACATTAACGTAAATAATTTAAGTATTGTAATCATTTTAGATAATTTAAAAAAAAAAGCTATGATAGGATTACATATTGCACGATTTGGTACTTGTTAGATTAGATGGGTACCAAATCGTGCAATATGTAATCCTATCATAGCTTTTTTTTTAAATTATCTAAAATGATTACAATACTTAAATTATTTACGTTAATGTAACTCGATTTAACTGAGTAAAAATTTATTCAGCAAAATAAGTAAATTCTACTTAAGATGGGTAGCCTCTAATCGGGCACATCTACAAGGAGGTCAATGAATATGCATATCAGTGACGTCGTGTCAATTCATGAATATTGATGTTCTTGACTGCGCGCGTAAGATTGTACGTACGTACGTACAGAATTGGGGTCATGTACAATGAAGGTAATACGTGCAACACAGTGGTTCAGCCAGATCAGGGCAAAATCTTACCATTATATACAGTTGTATTGTCCGTGATTATGAGGTAGAAGTGTTTGAGTGTTAAGTAAATTTATTTAGTGTGGATTTTGATACATTTTTGATACAGTTTATACAAAATTGGCGATTCTTTTGATCGTTTTTTAACTCCAAAAAAACACGTGACCAACTCGGTCGTCGGCTAAACCACCTCCCTGTAGATGTGCCCGCCTACCTCTACATGTGCCCGATCGAGATAGGGATCGAGTTAGTGTAATAAAATAGTATTCTATATTCAATATCCGAGAGATAACGGATGTAACATTAAAGCTCTCTTATATATGAGTTTACAACTATCAATTCAACATCTTTGCATTGATTTTCTTTGAGGTATAACGTGTTTAACGTTGTCAATACATCACCTCCCTGTAGATGTGCCCGCCTACCGCTACATGTGCCCGAGATAGGGGATATGTAGTAAGGCATACAACTTAGTGTTGTATATTGAATTTCCGACATGTCATGAATATAATAAAGCTTCCTAAGATACAAATGAGTTTCATAAATATCAATTTATCTTCTTTTCATTGATTTTCGTTGGATTTTACGTGTTTTAAGTAACATTCACCTCCCTGTAGATGTGCCCGCCTCCGCGGCTACATGTGCCCGAGATAGGGGATATGTAGTAAGGCATACCACTCAGTGTTGTATATTGAATTTCCGACATGTCATGAATATAATAAAGCTTCCTAAGATACAATTGAGTTTCACAAATATCAATTTATCTTCTTTTCATGGATTTTCTTTGGATTCTACGTGTTTTACGTTGTCAAACAACCACCTCCCTGTAGATGTGCCCGCCTCCCGCTACGTGCCCGAGATAGGGGAAATGTAGTGAGGCATAAAACTACTGTTGTATACTGAATTTCCGACATGTCATGGATATAATAAAGCTTCCTAAGATACAATTGAGTTTCACAAATATCAATTTATCTTCTTTTCATGGATTTTCTTTGGATTCTACGTGTTTTACGTTATCATAACATACACCTCCCTGTAGATGTGCCCGCCTCCCGCTACATGTGCCCGAGATAGGGGATAATTTTTATGTAGTAAGGCATACAACTAGTGTTGTATATTGAATTTCCGACATGTCATGGATATAATAAAGCTCCTAAGATACAAATGAGTTTCATAAATATCAATTTATCTTCTTTTCATGGATTTTCTTTGGATTCTACGTGTTTTACGTTGTCAAAAAATCACCTCCCTGTAGATGTGCCCGCTTACCGCTATGTACCCGAGATAATGGTGTAGCCAGACATTCAACTGATATTATATAGCATATCTTTCTTGCTCCCTCGACGTGGCGACTCCACCAAACATACCCCCTCTTTCTTACTCACCCCCTTTCTCTCAGGCTCTTACCCCCCCTCTCTCTCTCTCTCTTTCATCCCTTTTGTTTTTTTTTCTCTTCTTTTTCTTCTTCTTTTGTTGCTCCGTTTCTTCCTTTTCTTGCTTTTCCTTTCTTTCCTATCCTTTCTCTTTTTCTCTTTCTTTCTCCTCTTCTCTTTCCCTTCTTTGATAATTATATAAAAACATCCCCATAATCTAGCTAATATA